CAAATTGGGCAGCGTAACCACACTGGTTTCCTGCAGCGCGATCAATACTGTTACAAGAGAATAGGCTGTGCGGCAGCGAGTAGTCTTTAGGCGCATAGCTTTTCAAGACCCCTTTCTCTAAACCCCGCATTGCGTATTTGCAAGTTCTAATTGTAAGGAATGCCTATTTTGCTAAGGAAGGTTGTTAGAAGATAACTTACAGAGCGTGTCCAATAATCCTTTTGTCACTAGATGGGATAACACTAAGCAACTACTGCACACACCTTGCTCAGACCAGCTACGCCTGTCGAAGCGCAACCGTAATTCTACAGCAGTAGCCCGGTAATGTGACACTGCTGTTTCGGCTTTGCACGCCGGTCTCTGTTCCAACTAGCCCGACACACCATATGTATTGACCGGTGAACTTGTCTTGTGGCGTGCCGTACTTTGACTTCAAGCATCCGTTCCTTATCCAGTGTTTTCACGATGGAGGACACTGGGAATTACACGTGTACCTACTCGCATGCATACGGTCTTTCTACACTCATGTGACCTGTTGAGACCTTTGGAAATAGCCCAACTTTTACTATTGGACAGTAGCCAATTTATTGCGCTCTAGCTCATACCCGATGAAAAGGCTGTTTGTCCCGCATTAACAGAGTAGAGGGAACAGACCTTTGGGACAGGCTGTACACGTTCTCTTACAACAGCGCATTACCCACACCTGTCTGTGCAATTGCAGAACCGACATCTGCCAGATCATCGTGTTTGGGCTCGTTCCCCTGACCTCAACTTGTCGCTCATCACTCTCCTCAACAACTGACACCGGACTTGGCGCTAAGGCAACTGATCAACCACAATAAGAGAGGAAATCGTACGTCTTAGAAGATTAAGACGGAATTTATGTTTAGTATCCAAAACGGTCCATGGACTGGCCTATGCTAGTTACTATCAGCAGGCGTTTCAAGGAGCTATACCGTATGACCTAAGAAACAAAGACTACGTGATAAAAATACCTCGTTACGCACACGTCTGCGATACAACAGTTTTACACCGTAATAGCACACGTTCTGGAACAGATTGTCTCAGATCATCAGGATTGTAACTTCGCTTCGTACGTTTAACGAAGCTGTAATAAATAAAGGTTCTAAGATGGATGTGGCTGGACTTTACTGCGGTGCGGTAGTTTTCATGCCTCTGAGATCCACTGAGCTATGCTGCGTAGTGCTTTTTTGCACCTTCAGAGCCACACATACCAGACTGGTCAAAGGTTAAATACCAGACAAACTCGGCCTTGTGGTACTTCAGTTTGGGGGTTAGAATAAGGGTGGCTCCTTATTCCTTAAAACGAACTACTTGTAACCCACCGCCAATCCCGCTGCCTTGCGGTCAGGTTTTGAAACAAAGGCCATTATGGAGTACCTTAATCATTCTCCTGTCTAGGCCTTGGCAACCTGTCATTATCTTCCCCCGCGCAGTACAATGAATTACTCTTCAAACAGTTTCTTGATGCTCTGACCGTCGTAGAGGATAATAAACGGCGCCCTACCTGTTGCATCGAACAGGGTGGATAGGGGTCTGAATGTTACGCTAAAGCCTCCCAGTCTTCTTATTCACCCTTTTACGCTTCTCACACTTCTCATACCTTTTAACTTCACTTTTATCCCCCAGTTTTCAACTCGGTCCTCCTTGGCCCGTCCCCAGTATGCTTTGCTCGGCTTTTACCTTCTAGTTTCAACTCACATGTGAAAGCGGTGCGTCATACCTGCCCTGTCGACAAGCGCATGTCCAACCAAGCGGTCCACCCCATTTCATCGTATTCCATTTGGAGCCCTCGATCCTCCTTCCGATGGCCATGCCTCAATGTACGCACATTGCTACAGATCGGTCAACAGACAGCACTTTTCCGTGCATTAAAGCCCCACTTCATCGATATCTGTTGCTTATCGGAGACCCGCCAGAAAGACTCAAGCTCTGTATTTACTCTGCGATCCCCTTCAGGTGACACCAGCAGTATTTTTTCATTGCGCCCATCCGTGAAAATGCAGCTTCGAGCACCGGCCAAGCTGGTGTTGGCATTGCCCTGAGTCGCCGGGTAGAAGCTGCTCTGGTTGCTTGGAACCCAATCATTAGCCGGATGTGTGCGGTCCTGTTGACTGGCTCGTTCAAAGCTTCGAAGTCGTGCGGGACTAATAGGTGTTTATTTGTCATTGCTGCCTACGCGCCCACAAACTGTAGTGATGCTTCGGTAAAAGAGGAATTCCACTGCCAACTGACCGAGCTCCTTCGCCACAGAAAAAGCATGGACACTGTTGTGCTGGCGAGAGAGCTGAAAGTGCAAGTTTGAATATTATCCATTGGTAAACTGCCTTTGGACGGCCAGCACTGTGTAGGCACCCGTAATGATAACGGTGAGCTGTTACTTCATTTGGGTGAAGATGCTCGCTTATTTCTTGCGAGCACTAACTTCAGGAACAGGACCCGCCGGAAGGTGACTTGGCGCCCACCAGCATCGAAAAGGCTTGGACGCAAATCGATCACATTGCAATCAGTTGCCGCTGGAGTGGCTGTGTCCAAAACTGTCGCTCGATGGGGAGCAAATGTGTAGACACCGACCATGCACTTGTATGTGCTGACACGCGGATGCGTTTTGGCGCACGCTTACGAGGACGCTGTGAGCGCATTGATACCAGCTAACTGGCGAAGCCAGCTGTATTGTGTGCGTATCGAACTACGCTGACATGAGGATTGAGTAAGCGCTCACTGGAGATAATTAAAGATCACTGGTCGCGTATTCACCAGGTCTTACTAGCAGCAGGAAAATCGTCATGTTTTAAGTCTAATAGCCAAGATGGATCTTGGGTCCCTTCGCAGTCTCTGGAACTTATCGATGCTCGTCGGCATATTCCTGCTGGAAGCGAATACAATGAAACTTGCAAGGAGCTCCGGGCAAAACTCTGTGCAAGCCTGAAGAGAGACGGCGAATCTAGGGGTCTCTTCTTGCGTCAGAGAGAGAAATAGCCGCTGCCTTTGCTAACCATCGCAAGTTATTCCGTCTGATACGGGAAACGGGCAGCAGGAGATCTGATGTTAGTGAAACAATTTGTGACGAGAGTAGACAGCTTATTTACAACTTGTCAAAACGTTTGGAGCGTTGGGCTGAGCATTTTGAAATGCAATCTAATCGGCCGGAATTGTTCGATTCCTCACCGGCCGGTGATAGCCCTGCTCTTTAGGCTGTCCCTTTAGATCCGCTATCTTGCTCAGATGGCGAACGTGTGATCGGACTGTTGAAGTTGGACAAGGCCGCAGGACTAGATTATCTTCATCCAGTCCTCTTTAAATTCGAAGGCTCAGCCCTTGTTGATGATTTAAACGAAGTACTATTGAGACTGTGGGAGCAAAAATTGTCCCAACCGACTGGAGCCGCTCCCTTATAATTCCGATTTTCAAAGGAGGCTCGGGTTTGGAATGCGGCAGCCATAAAGGGAACAGTCTGATCCTATGGTCTACAGCGTACTTGCCTCTGTAATTCTTCGCAAACTGACTGACGCTCGTGAAAGCTAACTTTCTGTCTAGCAGGCGTGGTTTCTTCGAGGTCGTAGCTACATTGACCACATCTTCACTTTGCGTCAGATTTTGGAGCACCGTCACACATATCGGCGGCTTATCGTAGTCCTGTTCCTGTACATCAAAAGTGTCTTCGATTCGTTTGATCAATGTGCCCTTTGGGCCTGTCCACTCAGGAAAGGTGTTTAAGCAAGATGTAAATATGATCCCATCTTTATACGCGCATAGCACGGGCAGAGTGGTGACTTAAGGCGAGCTGTCGCCGCCCTTCAATATCTCCAGTGGTGTGAGACAAGGAGTCCTGTTGTCACCTTTGCTCTTCAACTTTTCTATTGACGGTCATGGAGGTTGCAATCCCAGGACACGACCTAGAAGGTGTGGAGCTACTCACAGGAGAACGTTACTTGACTTGGAGTATGCGGACGATATTGCCCTCATTTGTGATAGCCCTCAAACGTGCCAAGCCGCAATGGGCAGATTACCACTGGCTGTCAGCCGCTTCGGGCTTTGCTTTGCACCCTCGAAGTGCAAAGCTTTCCTGCAATATTAGCAGGGATCGCCTCCTGACCTTACCCTAGAAGTCCTACAGAAATTCAACAACTTGGGATGTTGTACCAGGGCCCGTGGGATCGAAGGTGAGATCACGTGATATATATTAGAAGCTTGAGGTGCTTTTTATAGACTTCGCTATCTATAGCGCCGGCGCGACATCACACTCCCCCTGAAGGGCAGAGGGTACAATGCAGCATTTCGTTCGACCCTACTGTAAGGCTACAAAGCCTGGCTCCTTAGATCAGCGAACACACAGAGGCTAGCTAATTTCGACCACCGCTGCCTTCACAAGTTAGCTCACAACTGGTGGGAAAACCGCGTGAACAACGAGCGTGTTTGACGCCTTGTCTACGACACAGGAAAAGAAACCAAACCTCTCAGCACTGTCATTTCACGTACCAGGCTTCCATGGCTCTGCCAACTGTTACGCATGGCAGCCCACCGGCTCCCGCGATTTGCGTTATTTTCTCACCGGAGATGTGCATGGAAGAAGAGAAGAGCTGGCCAAGCAATGACTTGGTCAAGAGGAATGAAGACCCTCACTTCGAAGCTGGCCTCGGTTGGATCGTCTAGGCTACGTGCTTGGGGTCCATAAGACGATTAACACGTTACGCTTGTTACACTTGCTAACATGGCTAGCAGCCGACCTCAGTGGCGTTCCTGCTGTGAGTTGTTTTGTCCCGCTCCATCCCTTTTAGTCTCCGATCCAACCACGATCTCAGTTCGCAGTATAATATAACTTTACATAATATTTTTTGTATATTAGCTGCCTGGTAGCTTTCCGGAATGATGCCCATGCGTTGCTGGTAGCTCAGCTGGCGAGCAACTGTTACGTATGTTTTTTCTTTTCTTTATGTATTGTGGCACATGATCTGAGGTGTTTTACACATCCAGCTAACATGTATACTAATGATGATGATGATGATGTTGATGATGGTGATGATGATGATGATGATGCTGATGATGCTGCTGATGATGATGCTGCTGCTGCTGATGCTGCTGCTGCTGAGGATGATGGTGATGATGATGATGATGATGATGATGATGATGATGATGCTGATGATGATGATGATGATGACGATGATGATGATGATGATGATGATGAAGATGATGATGATGATGATGATGATGATGATGATGATGATGATGATGATGATGATGATGATGATGATGATGATGATGATGATGATGATGATGATGATGATGATGATGATGATGATGATGATGATGATGATGATGATGATGATGATGATGATGATGATGATGATGATGATGATGATGATGATGATGATGATGATGATGATGATGATGATGATGATGATGAAGATGATGATGATGATGATGATGAGGATGGATGATGATAAATATAGGTGGGTCACTTTGAAGTACACGTTTAGGAACGGATTGCGACGCACAATCTCAAAGGGGACCGTGACTCACATTGAAGTGAACCTTGATCACTCGATCACTAGGACAGTAGCTGATGAAGTAGAAGGAATTCTAGTGTTACAGGCTCGAAGACGGCGCACACCAAGAAGTCGTATTGATTTGTTTACTCTCATCGAGTAGAGATAGCACACCTCGAACTCAGGACCTATAAGATGTTAATTAGGACATTTACCCCTTTAGCCACCGGGTCACGACGGGTGATGCTTGGCAACACGGTTAATGTGTGTTTGGAGCATCATCTGAGGTACTCGCTGCATGATTATTTTGCGATGCGCAATCTGGAAGTGAACCGTCATTCCGATCAAAGTGAATCTTATGGACCGTGTGTATGCAACCTAGTCTCAGCATCTGTCTTATACCTGAGATCCAAAGTAACCTGTTTTCACTAGAATAAGGGTGTGTCGGGTCTTTTATTAACATTTTAACAACTAAGTGCAGCATCATGTGTTGCTGATCCGGACTTCCACTGGGATGTTTGGTTTGACGTGATATTCCACTCCTGCTAAGTGACTGGATGTGTGACTTAGCCCTCGCTAAGCGGCTCTTTTAAGTTTAAAGAAACAAGTTAGGTAGACAGGGGCTAAAACACCACAGACTATTGATATGCTAGGCTGCTTGCTTATAACAAGCGGCGTGAAATAGTTTTATTTTGAGCTGAGAGGAGGGTCCGCTCTAAACGGTCACCAATCTCAAAGGATCCACCACACAGGTTGAATGGGCGCGACTTTTCGAGTGCAGTTCTATTGATTCTGACGATCCACATGGGTACTGGGCAAGCTAGGTTTCACAGATGCGATTAATGTTGGTGGCTGACATGAAATGCTGTATCATCGTAAACATCGCAAGAGGATCCTTTAAAATACTGCAACGAGCACAAATTTTAGCAACATGAATTAAGCGCGAACCTGTGTTTCATTGCATAGGGCACGCCCATTTCAACTGGCCGAGTTTGCAAGGCCCTGGAAAGAAATTAGACTGCGCAATACAAGATGGATCAAATACACCCGGTGTATCTCGTAAGTTCATCCCTCTTTCGTAGATTCGAAGCGCCGTAATAATGCTACCTATGAATTCGTATATACAGCAGAAGTCCCGAAGTTTAGTATTTCTATTTTCTGACTCCTTTTCCAAGTTACTGTTTTATTTTGCATTGCTTGTGCGGTCATCATGCTAACCTTATGAATCCACTCCTCTTCACGTTGATCACTCGCCATGTTGACCATTTTGGTCCAGTTTCTTGGGTGATGAATTTACGAAAGTTGTACCGTAGGTGATGAAGAGCAGTGAAATTTCGTTTATGACAGTAAACAACTATAATTCGAAGCAAATCTCTTACAATTTTGCCTACCTTTCTGCCATATACCAGATACTTTAACCACAACAAAACGATTTCAGATGCGACGCCATATCAGTGGTCTGCAAGCCGCGGCATCAATGCTATAACGTAGTAGAAATTCCAGACAATTTGATCTTTATCCTCAAAGGGCGTAACCAGAACTTTCGGCAAGGAGCACGCGTGAGACAATGGGTTCAGGGATCTAGTCACCTGCTGTCCAAGCTCAAGCACATTGGTTTCGTTACCAATTAACTGAAGAACGTTTGTTAATCCAGGAGACAAATGTAAGCTACGATGCTCGTGAGTGTTCAACGGTGTCACGGATGGAGTACTCCTCTCCGACTTGACTGTCGCAATAAAAATCTACAGTTGCAAGATAGTTGTGGCTGCAGTTCAACATTGAGTAGTTTGTGCGGTAGCATCCACAAGCATCAAACACTTCACATATCGTGTAAAACTGAACAATTGAGACTGAGTCGTGCGGTGCGAACCACTTTTCTTTGCGAACGTGCTGGCGTGACACAACGTAGAGGTCAGAATGCCACACTAGCTTTCCAAAACAACCCAATAAATGTTCACAAAACAACGTTTATACTGCAAAGCTTTATCGGATGACTGTTTAACCGGGTGGTTACACAAGAGTGTAAAAATTTGTGGAATGTCATTTCATTCGTATGGAGCTGGACAGATTGGAGGCAATGTGAGAAAATCGAACGTTCCAAGTGGTGTACATATGGATAATGCGGAGCACCGCAATCATAAACATCAGGCTATTGAACAGAATGCGTAAACCAAGTGTGCATCCGCATTTCACGCTTGTTGTAAGTGACTTAAAAACAAGATTGAATTTCCTGGATTAGTAGACAAGTCAGCCGTTTGATTAATATGCCGTAGTAGTAATTGACTGAAAGGGTTATTTCGGGACACGTGTAGGTTGATTGCGTTACTCAACCTCAACCTAGCCCGCGCTTCCTTGTAAATTTGAACTTGACAATTACCAGCCACACCTATTTGTATTATCATGATCATGCCTTCGCAAGTGCGCCCCGCACTGCCGGGAATAAGGTATATTTATTTGTATGTGTCATCTTACACATGTGGTCGCGAAACTATGTACTGTGTAAAAGTGAATGCCATTGCACAACCATATATGTACCGATCGCTTATATTGTCAGCCTGAGGATCTCTAGAGTTTCGGTCGATCTGATACCACATCTCATGGTGGTGAAACGTTCGCGACCAAATGGCTAAGATCGGGTGTGCGGTATTCCACTACCTTCAACTTTTCGGAACATTGTGACTTCCAAGTTTCGAAAGCCATGAAGACTATTGGCTATATCTGTCATAAATTTCAACTCACAGAATCTCGTATCTGACTTTACAAAACATATGTGTTACCTGGCATGGAATACTGCTCACTACTTCAGTCGAATCTGGGGAAATCTGACCAGCATGCTCTTGAGAGGGTACAGCGACGCTTTACAAAGAAGCTGTGCGGATATTCCTCCAAGATGACTTACAGAGAGCGCAGTGAAAAACTTGGACTTGACCCATTTTGGCTACGGATAATGAAGATGAACTTGTGTTTCCTGTACAGAATAATTCACCATCACATGCACAATTATGCTAACTGTGTCCATATTTCCGTTAACACTAGATCCGAGCTACGAAATAAGGAGACAACGGTCATGATTCCAAAGTTCAATACGCGAATTAGGGAGCATTTCTTCTTAATACATTGCTCAAAGCTTTGGAACAAACTTCCATGAGCTATCAGAACTTGTTGCACATTGCGTTTGTTTAAGCTTTCGATAAAAGATCATCTAACCGTTCAAAATGTGATAATAATGTTTCCAACAGCACAGTCCTTAGATAACGCTTTTGAGAACGGAGTTAATGGTGCCTGAAAATGCATGTGGTCAAGTGCACAAGTGGTTATATTTTGTTGGCCCTCAGCACTTTATTCTCTTTTTTTCGTGTGCGATCAACTCTCATGTGACTGCTAAAAACTTGTCAGACGATAGAACAAGAGGAATGTAAATATTTTGGACCGCTTCGCGCTACACAAATTTTCATTTTGTGCTCACATTTTTAAATTTATTATACCATGATATGAAACTGCTGTACCATTATTTGATCCGTCCCTTCTGGGAACGGCTTCTCGCATCGTCGAGCCATATACAATTTATTTATTTATTTAAATGAACAACTGCTGTCAATGCTTTTCGCAGCATTGGTCCGAAGACGTTTCAAAGTGCCACAAACACTTCGAAAATGACATTCTAATCAAACCATATTTCGATTCCCAGTCAGGGTAATCCTAACTCTAGAAATCCTCTGACTGAGAGCACGAATAACGGGTATATACCTGGTTGCTCACTGGCTTTCACTTCTACACAGTACTTTTTCTCTCAACCATATGTGCAAGATGACACATGTGTTTGGGTAAATTAAGCGGAGAGCCTCAAGCATATCCGAACGCGGTAACTGAGTTGTGATATACGAATTTCCCAACTTGAAGAATCTACCTAGCACACCCATCCACAGAAAGCATCTCAGCTAGACGTAATCGATTGTCTGAGGTTGATTCGGAAATTGAGAGTTACGACAATAACAAATCACCACTGCAGTTGTAGATGACGGAAGCCAGTCCAATATTTCACGTGTAAACCTCGATGAGAACAAGTGAGCAGGGGTAACGGTAGTAGGCCTAATTTCTAGAGAGTTCTCGCCTGATTTCCGTCGAGAACTTTAAAGGTAATGACAATCGAGAACCAGCCACTCATAATGTATTCTGGTGACGTAAACGCGCTGCCAATGTCTGACGGATATACCGAACTGTAATCCTCTGGCTCGAATGCTTTCAGTACCGTTAGTCAGCTGCTTTGCCGAAAGGCTGGATGTCTATTTCTCAAGTAGGTACATCTCAGTCGTAGAATGGCACCGGTACTACTGTCAGTATGAACTGCGAACGAAAGCGTCCAATAAATGTCGGAATCAACGGACAAGTATTTTATTCTTTGACCGATTTCACATATACTTTTTCACTTACTGATCTTCCTTCACTCGTTTTCGGAGGGGAAGTGGATGTCAAAACTTTACCATAAGAATGGTTGTACTCTAATTCCGGCCATCATCATTCTTGCTACTCAAAACCGGAAGATTTCTAACTAACCTGGAGAAGGAAACGGGCTGCACAACCGAATCGCCTTCCTCAATTCAATCAACTTGAGGGATGCAGTGTAGCGTTGCTAATTTTTGTCCGTTTTGCATGCTCTTATTCATTGCACGTCTAACATGGATGTTATATGCGCAGCGAAGCTGAGAATGACACTGTACCTTCTCACAATGGAGTCAAAATCAGAAGAAACAAGTTTGTTCGGTATTATAAAGTGTATCTGGCATTACCATAAGATGCAAATCCTACGTACACAAGGAAACACTACATGCCACTGTAGCGTCCTAAAACTCCTTCGTAAATGAAACCTTTACTGCTCCGGAGTTCAGGTCATGTAACTGGGCAAGCAACTGCGGCTGCAGTCATTTACTCGATGTTACGTCGTTCGCTGGCGT